ATGCTCGTCATTATTATTCAGCGTGATAAAAGCATACCCTCTCATTTATCCTTGATTGATCAAAGTGTCAAGGCAACTCAGCCCTCACACACATCCACTTTCAACAGTGGACCTTTCAAATGTTTCTGTGTGATAGAGGGGCACTGTCACCAAACACTGTCCATCGCAAACATTTTAATAAAAGCTAGCTGTCATCCTCCAACACATACTGATTCACATGGAGTTTACTTATGATGACCAATCAGATGACAAACAGTCTTGCATAGCCAGATTGAAAGGGCATATGGTCTGGTCGACATTACTCCCATTCACTTAGACAGGAAGAGACCATCTGACCGACATGTAAAGTAACCAACCATAGTTTGTTTTGTGTGCCTTTCAAGGGCAGGTTTATCTACAATAGAAAACAATAGAAAAATGATGCATGTCCTGAAGTAAAAAGCACAATTTCACAGACATAACAAAACATAAGAACAGTTGGAGAAAGGCTTCATTTATTAATAATTGATAAGTACATTTACAGTATGTGGGCAGAAGAAGAGGTTCTCACACTTTCTTCCTGATTTCAAAATTTTGACACACAAAAACAAAAATGTACATCAATTTTGTAACTCTGAAATTAGTGAGACATATTGTAAGCTATTCAAGTTTCTAATAATAATAATATACTTAAAAGATAATAATAATATATACTTAGACCAGGAGTCTATTAATCCATTATTATTTTGAACAACTTTGTAAGTTGTCCTCTAGTCAAAAAAAAAAAAAAAAAATGCCCCACATAATGCTGTCAAAGGGATGAATTACTGGATTAAAAGCATTTGAATTTCCAATTTAAATTTTTTTTTTTTTTTTTAATAAATAAATAAATACTTAAATTCAGCAAGGATGCATTATATAAATAAAAATGACAGTAAAGACATTTGTAGTTACAAACTTTTTTATTTCTATATCATGATAATAAAGACTGGAGTAATGGCTGCTAAAATAAATTACATTTTAAAAGCAGTTCTTTTCGATCGTAAATTTTCTGTCACAAAATTACTATTTTTAATGCATTTTTGATTCCCTGAACATATTTCACAGACTTTTCCAGCTTTCTGGATATTTGCATGTCCCAGAATAGCTCATTTATTCAGAAGGGCTGAGAGAGGGCAGGGGAGGGGACACGAAGCTGACCTGCCACACAACTAGAACTGCCAGGAATGGTCCTCAGATCCCGTCCAACTAACTCAAACACTGGACCACACTAGAAAGAGTTTAGCAAGCACTAAGAACCAATAAGCACACGGCACAGATGCAAGCATATCCAATCAGAGAGACCCGTACGAGCCCCCAAACTGGAGCAGGGAGCACGAGCATCATGTGCAGCTGTGCAGATGCCCGGCCTAAAGCCACCAGAGCAATGGCCCGAACACATGGCCAGGGCTTCACTTCTGGGCTGCCTGCACAATCTGAGCCCAGAAACTCAGTTACTTTGTTTTTTTCCACCCCTCATGATAATGACTACCTGTCCCAGATTCTGTGGTTATGAGAAGAATCACATCGGTTGTATGTCAAAACACAATAACAATGCGCTTTGCAGACAGTTCACCAGAGAAGAGCAGCGGGGAGAGATATCTCTCAATTTGCCAACAATTAAATATTTTATGGTTTCGTAAAGAAACTTAGTGTCTTTCATCCATTCTAATCCTGACCTCAAAATTGGGGTATTTTGGTTCCCAATCTATTTCTGCCGTTCTATAAGCCAGCTTCTGCATGGTTAAGTAGAGACAATGTTAAGACAAGCCTTTTAAGCCCATTAGCCTTATAATTCATATGTCTTGGCAAATGTTATTCAGCGTAGTCCAAGATCTGCTAGCACTATCTTCCTGCTGGCTTGTTGGAGCAGGAAAGAGGGAGAAAGAGAGTAAGAAAGAGAGGAGGGAGGAAGTGCAAGCTTTTCGTTCATGGTGAAGAGAGAGAGAGAGAGAGAGAGAGAGAGAGAGAGAGAGAGAGAGAGAGAGAGAGAGAGAGAGAGAGAAATAGAAAAGGAAAAGTATGTTCTAGCAGGCCGCCACATGTCGAAGAATTTGTTTACTGTTTCCTGTCCTGTGATCAACACAGTTCAAACGGACAACAGAGGAGATATGGTAGGCGAAAAGGATTCTGATCTGTTCTTCTGTTCCTGAGGGTCAACGTACCTTTAAAGGGACAGTTCACCCAAAGAAATGAAAATTTAAATAATTTACTCACCCTCATGTCATTGCAAACCCCTTTTATTTTATTTATTTTGCAGAATACAAAAGGAGATTTTTTTTTGTGTAATTAACGACCTAATGCTAAGACTTAAATGATTCAGGTCACTTTTATAACACTTTAAGGGGCCACTTACACGTCACGTTTTTGCTTTTAAAAACGTACGATGCAAGGCAGTGGAACGAAAAAAACGCAAGGTGTAGAGACGGGTTTTTTAAAAGCTGAATTTCTTGTAACTTGAGTCCTGCATTTTGTTTCATGCGCGAGATTCTGAAAAAGATGTAATATGTGAGTGCAACAGTCAAACGTGTTCAACTAGTGCATGTTTTCAAATATAAGCGATGGAAAAGCAGCACAGTGGAATGAAAAAAATGAATACTGTGGGAATGGACACAGTTTCCAGTCCCCATGTAATGTAATGGAATGGAAAAGAGCAGCAGAGCACATCTTTCAAAACTTCTCTTTTTGAGTTCTACGGAAGAAGGAAAGTTATGTTGGTAATGAAATAATGTAGAGTAAAGGACAGTATAACCTGCCTTACGAAAATTAACTTGATGACGAGATTAAAAAAAAAAAAACAGAAAATGAAATCCAGGCACTTAAGAAATTTTATTGAGTTACACTCAGTCACACGGCCATGATTTATTTCTTTTTTTTTCTTTTGAGAGTCAGTTTAGAAGTGGCCTCGGGGATAAGGACTATATCTGGTCTATAATCCAGCTGTGCCGGAGCGATGTATTCACAGAACCGGTTAAGAGATAATCTGAAGAGCAATGTGAATTTATTTATCTGAATGACAAGAGTAAATGAGAGAAAGAGAGAGAGAGAGAGAGAGAGAGAGAGAGAGAGAGAGAGAGAGAGAGAGAGAGAGAGAGAGAGAGAGAGAGAGAGAGAGAGAGAGAGAGAGAGAGAGAGAGAGAGAGAGAGGAGGGAGGGAGGGAGAGAGAGAGAGAGAGAGAGAGAGAGAGAGAGAGAGAGAGAGAGAGAGAGAGAGAGAGAGAGCATGTGCACAGTAATTTTTCTCTCCCTCCCTGCAATCGGAAACCAATCCCTGATTCTGCGTGGAGATATGGAGAAACTCTGCGACCAACACGGCTTAAAATAACTCTTACGACATGATATTTAAAAAAAAATAATAATAATTGTTTCCATTTTTTCAATGGAAGTTTCTGTTGGAGTTCTGGTATTAAAAACAGCAACATCCAAGATATAATGTCTGGTTATCAGAGAAGGATTCAATTCAAAACAAAGTCAATGGGTTCTGAATGAAGAAACAAAAACTGTCTCTTACAAGAGCCTGACAATGGAGAAAAAAAATAATAATAAAAAAAAACAGTCATTATGCAAATTATGAGGCAGGTCTTTGTGGGTAATAGCCAAAACTCACTCTGTGTAAAGTGTTAATAAAACATTTGGCAAAAATGGAACAGCCTTTGTGCTTTCAACATGACCCCACTAAAAAGAGAAAATAAATTCTGACAAAACAAAAAGCATGATGGATTTCCATCAGACTTCATTGGAACTTGTTTCTCTTTTGCTTGTTAAACCCTTGTCTTTCTATTACATTACATTTCATTCCTATAATAAATTATAGAAATCACACTAGTTGATTATATGACTACTTTATCACAACGTTCATGAATTTGTGAACGCTGAAATCAATCACCAGCGTATTAAAGTCTACCCAGTAATATATGACTTACTTGAGCAAATTACTTCTCTCCTCTCAACATAAGTCAGCGTTAATATTTCATAAGATTTATGTGTGAACTCAACAGCTGGATTTTATGATGGAGTTCACTGTGATCTGTTATACAGCAGTAAGATCCATTAAAATGTTTAAAAATCATACCTTTTCTGTGCAAGTCATATTTGGGAGTGCAAAAATATGAAGTCAAGTTTTAGAAGTTTTAGAAGTCAAACAATATTCATCTCTTATTTAAATGTCAAAGTGCCTCTTATGTAAAATTAAGAAAATTATATTTCCCAAATTATGATTAAGTGCTTTTCAAACCAACAATTCAGGGATGCGTTTGCAATGATGTGCTATTTTTCCATACACCAATTAACAGAAGAAACCGCAACTTACTTTTCAATATATGTGAAATTTTACTATACCGTAAATACTATATAATTACTATAAAGAAAGTTTACTATTTCTGTTCATAAGTAGTTTAATTTTTCAACAGAGCGATTAAACTTTTTTTATTCTGTCCTACAACTATATTTTAGCTTTACAACTTTATAAATATATTATTTAAGTTTACTTTTAAATTATTCTTTTTTTTTTACATTGTCTCCAAAAATAAGGCACATTTCACTAACTCTTCAAAGATGTGTAAGAGACTAATTTAAAGTTGGGGTGAAAGAATAGCAAGGATATTAGCCATCTGTGCACATTTTCAGCACAACAGCTAAATGAAAATGTATATATAAATCTGTTAAGAGCTGGTGAGGATATAGTGAAACTGGCAGCATTTGGAGTGAGATCTGCAGCGGTTTGAGGCAGGAATGATCGAGACTCGAGTTGCTGATGATTGGAGGGGAACACGCTCTAATCCCAGCTGGATTACTCTGACTATGGAATAGGGAAAGATCGCAATAGCGGTCTGAGAGAGGGGAAGATCGCGGAGCTCCTGCCCGTTAACGGCGCTCAACGACATACAGTCACGCGAGCCGAGGCTCCGCGCGCTCTCATACTGACCACATAAACACACGCACATATTACAACTTTAAGTTCAATGCGGTCTCGAATCACTCACCTAATGTTGTTTACGGCTTCGTCCACGTGTCTCGAAGGAAAACGACCCTCCGGGAGAGGTAAACAGGGTCGGGATGTTTTATTTGCGCTGGTCTCTCAAGGACGAGGTGAAATCCCAGGGCTGGTCACACACAAACAACAACGCCAGAGCAAATTACAAAAGGCAAAGACTTGGGGGAGGAGAAGTCAATTTGTTTCGTGTCCTAAACAACAGGCTCTGAGCCAAGAGTGGTTACCTTAACGCCAATGCTCGGCTGAGCAAAGCAAATGTGTCAAAACTGGACCATTTAAATCCAAAACACTGGGCTTGGCTAAAGCGCTACATGCAGTTCAAAGCAGTTAGTGTGCGCGCGCTACCTGAGGCGCATCGCGAGCTACAGGCGACAGCACACGACGTCAGTACTTCTCTGAATATAATTCTCGTTCACAAGTTTTCGTTCAGGTAATGTCAAATATGTCCTGCTAAACGTAGACTAAATCGTAGGCTATCCCGCACGCAAAGACTGCAGTTGGGAATGTCTAATTTTGAGTGAGCGCAGAGTTCAATTTGGACACTTTCTTATTAATTTACAATTGTAGCTGCTCTTGAACGCCTCTTCACTGGGGTCTAATCAGCGCGAGCCCCCTCAGGTGCCTTATATTAAGGCGCAAATGTCAATAACCGTCATGTCATCTTCCCTCGCGAGCAACACTAACTTGTCTACGCGTGAACCTCTAAATTCTGGCTAAAATGACTGTCAGAAGTGTGTGTAAATGCTTTATACATAACCTGTGTGCCGGTGGCGCAGGGATGCGCACAGGTGTTCATCGCGCGCCCGTCATGAGCTCGTGCACTAGCAGTTTCCCCACATGCGACCTGTTTTAATTTACCTGTCAAGTCACGAGCCAGGGCATCTCTATTACACACAACACGCTAGTGTTTTCAAAATGTTTTGGACTGTGCTTAAAATGTGCGTAGCCTATAAACAAATATTATGCTGATAGTAGCTATTTATATTGATTTATAGCCGAATTTATGTAATAGTGGGCTATACATAAAATGCTACTTATTCAATTTAATAGGAACCAAAACTAGCCATTTTCTGAAATGGCCATGAACTCAGACAGAGACAAGGCATTTGCTTTATGCATTTTTGATTCGTAAAATGAAATTTGCAACCGATTTGATTTCATCTAGTCTATCCAAACATCCGTGGATTATTCAATAAGATCTGCATTTAATGGAATTTATTATTTGAGTGAAACATTAAATTTCATGGAGCTTTTGTTCAGGTTTATTCAATGATTAAAAAATGATATATTAGCCTACTTTGTCTTATTTATGGAGTTAAAATAGACGCTTCCCCAAATGATTTTCAACCTTTGTGTCTGCCTTTCAAACTAGAGCTGCTTCCAGACCAGTGGTTTATCAAAGAACAAGAGTTGGACGATTAGACGCGTAGAAGTTTGTTTGACGTATTCTGGCAGAAGTTTGACGCGCGCATCAAGTAGCCAACGCGTGCACGCGCATATTCAGGTTCCTCTGCGCGCGCCACCGAACATGCACAGTCCTAACTAAGCATACAAGTTTGAATGGGCTTTTCTCTCCTGTAATAAAATAGCCTACATAAGATACGTGTATCCGACAATTACGTTAACTCTTGTTATTTCATTGATAGGCGTCGACTGTAATCGAGAGACCCACTTAAAAACAATTTCCCTCAAATTGCTATCAAACAACTTGAACCCGGACAGTTTAGCATACGAGCTTTTAAAAGTGGATAAACATTTATTTTGCGTAAGCTATTTACTTTTACGTTTAAGGCCAATATTGGCATTCAAAACATTTTAAGTATGTATGTCATAAAACAGACTGGTTGTTAATATGTTCCAATTGAAATGGCATTGACGTTATTGTTGTTAGAGGAAAGCCAAGGTTTAAAAAATAAAGCAAGCATAACTGAGGTATTTTCGTTATGTTGTGGGCTTCACAAACCAAGAATGAAGCTGCTTCTGGGGAAATTGGTTAAGGGCAATTATTCAGGGTGAGAACACGGCACAAGTCAAATAGCTAAAGCTCACAGTGATAAATTATAGCAGAATATTAAACAACCTAATGCTTAATCTTTACATAGTCCTTTGATGAGAGGAAAATTATAGCATTTTGATTTTTCTCTTGCCCCATTAATAAGCCATATCTAATCTACTGCATATTATATTTTATGATACATGAATGTGTATTTATAACATAACATGTAAGACATGGGTACAGCATGTAAATCACATTGAGAGGATATTTTTGCACAGACTTCATTGCTCAAAAATAGTCATAACCGACCTCTAGCGGTGG